TGATGAATTATTCACTTATAAGTGAATAATTCGACCTCATTGAATCCGTATTCATGTGAACTTCAATTTAACCCCTAACCCCCTAGAGATGGATAACACATGAATTGTATGTGTAAAGTTATTTAAAGGAAAAGAATGTCAACATTGAAAGTGAAACAAAGGTAAATCATTTGTTTGACTGATCCGATCCACAAAAAATCATTCTTATACAGGTAAAAACGATGATAAACATATATTTTTAATCTATAATATGAAATTAAACAGACCTAGAAAAGTCCAATAGCACGAGTTCGCTTAATCTATTTATATCTTTATTTATATTTACATCGCTTATATGGCCATCGGATGACTTTGGAGGTCAACTCGATAGTTAATTAGATGGCGTCTAGACTAAAATACACACGAAACGAAGCTACGTGTTATCATGCCCATGTCCTGTTAACTGTTTATTTTAGACTTTTAATAGTTTGGATAAATGTTTTACATTGTTATAAATCAAACATGAGAATTTGAGTCAATTCGGTGAACATGAATTTGACAGCTAGTGCCCCTTTAACATCAAATTACTGACAACCCCAAGGGTTAAAAAGAAAAAGACAAACAGACAAACAATAGCACACAAAAGTTCTAGAATCAACAATCACAAAAGTTCAATAAATCATATAAATAACTGATAAGGCTTTACTACAAATACTGTCATTCATTGTATAAAGACATAGTAATAATACTGTTACTGAGGCTGAACTGTCTAATTATGAAAAAAACTCATCATATCTACATCTTTTTACATTATTCACCATATGCCCACACCAGATATGCTACCAGATGAATTTTATCATGTATTTTGTCATTTGTAAATTGTTAGTGTTAACTCTTCACTGTAGGAGGGACATATGGTATAGTGCAAAGCCAATAGAAATGTGTGTTACAGAACTTAATAATTAGACAGATACAAAAATGTCATCTTCATAAGAATATATAGTCCTTACCATCATCTGTCAAATGTAAACATCTGGTTATTGACCAATAAATAAAACTTGGCATGGAGTCATTTAGTATGAGGCAAATAAATGCAAGTATCTGTTTCTAACGGAATCAAGGACATAGAATATTTATTCCAACAGGAACAGATATTTGATATTGTTTATTTATAACATAGTTCGGTATTGTTAGGAGGTACAAATATACATGGACACATGGACATAAGTATATATACACAACTTACAATTTTCACAACATAATTCATGAAAGCCGGCTCATTTTTTCCAAAAATAATCATGGGGTCATTTTAGGTTTTTTAATCTTCTTTAAGTACCATATATAGGAAGCAGAAATTGTCACAGGTTTATCTGTTAATTTGATTATAACTTTGTTGTGAAGCTTTCTGTGTTTTTCTGAAGATGGAAATCCCTTTTTCATTTTTTGTCTGGAAATTTGCAATATATTTCAACTAAATATAATCTTTACCTAGAGGTACTGCATGCAAAGCTCACAAAACGATTCGATGGCCACTTGCAAAGTTCATGATTTGCTTAAGGGAATTAAATGCCCCTAACAAATATTTTGACCAAAAAATAAAATGGGTTAAGTTTGATAAGTCATGGTTACGGAGTAGCAAATACAAATGTGTACTTTAATGTGCAGATATGACAAAGTCCATGTTATCACAAAGGAAACCCCCAAAATCATTAAGATCATAAAACAAAATAGGAGCTGCAAAAGTACATCATGTGAATAAAAATTCTGTGAAACGATTCAGAACCATTTGTGGATATCAAAGTGGGACAGAAGGACAAACAAACAACTGGACAGGTATATGGAAGGACTAACCTATAACTATATACCACTCAATAAGAAAGAGGGGAATGTAAATATTGAGGAGCTATTATGCACTTATATGAGAAGATCTTAATCCAACCATGTCATGTTTATGTCCTATTAGCAGACACTCAAACTGCATTAGAATGCAGAACTTTTATAGGTTATTAGTCACATCTTTAGCAGATCAAACACCAGAAATCCCTAAGGTTTTATCCTTCACCAAGATCTAAATGTTATTCATCTCCAGAGGATACTGCTCACAAAAATACATCAGCTTCCCATTAAAATTATCAGATCAATAGTAGAATGAATTAGGATTATTTATATGATCAAAGGGAAGTAATTCAATTTCAAATTTCTGAAAATAATCCCATATGGGAGATAACTCTGTTTCTATTTAAAAATACACATCTGCTGAATCAGATTATAAAGGGAGGTTATTCTATCATACTTGTTCCAGATATTGATTCAGTCTGTAGCCCAGACAGTATTGACACTTGAACAATTAATTAACAATGAAGTCCATGTTATATTATGACCACATCCTGATAAAACAATCCACACTTAATAATGGAAAAACCATGTTTACATGCATGTTGGATGTTTTATAATTAAATATAAACTGATCAGGAGGCTGAAACATGAGTTATATGGTCATATGATAAATTGTAAATTATTTTGTGACACTGAAAATATCTATAGAGTAAATTCATACTTTAATTTCTGATCGACAATTTTGTTTCCTGTTAATGGAAAAAACTTTTCTCCCGTTTTTTTCTTCATCATTCATTGTCATTCAAATTCTTAAAATTTCCATCTTATCAGAGAAAGGTAGGGTGCAAATATTACACTGGAGACGAGTTGAGGGAATAGGGAGTTGGGATGCATGGGGCAAACTTCTACACCCTGGGCTTTCCTCATGGTTTATCGCATGATAAGCCCATAGCTTTAACAAGAATAAAGTTCCATAACTCCTCAATGTCATATCAGAAATTTATAAAAAAAACTAAAGGGAGGTTATTCTAATAGATATAAACCAGTCACCAAGTTTCATGAAAACTGCTCAAAGAACTTTTGAGTTATTGTCTGAAAACTGGAAAGTCACCCTTTTTTAAAGAATTAAAAACCCCATAACTTAGAAAAGTAAATCTAAAATTATAAAAATCAAAAGGGAGCTCACGTCAATAGATATAAACAATTCACCAAAGTTTCATGAAAACTGCTCAAAGCATTTTTGAGTTATTGTCCGAAAACTGGAAAATTCCCCTTTTTTAATGATTAAAACCCTACAACTCGGAAAAATAAAATCAATAATTTATTAAAATCGAAAGGGAGCTCACATTAATAGACATAAACAATTCACCAAAGTTTCATGAAAACTGCTCAAAGCATTTTTGAGTTATTGTCAGAAAACTGGAAAATCCCCCTTATTTAATGAATAAAACCTAATAACTCGGAGACGTAAAACCCAAAATTTATAAAAATCAAAGGAAGCGCAATTCAATAGATATAAACAATTCACCAAAGTTTCATGCAAACTGGTTGAAGCGTTTTTGAGTTATTGTCCGACATGTTGACGACGGACAGATGGACGGACAACGGTATACTATATATAACGGGGGTATAAAAATAATTTCAATCTAAGCATCCTCAAAAATTTCACTTTGACCAATTAGAACCAGTCAAAACTATGAAGTTCCAAGTATTAAAAAAAATCTATTCTATTTATAGAAAAATAATTATCAGGTGTTAAACAATGGGTGGTTAAAGTGGAGTAGGATCTGCATATCCTTCAGATATTCACCTGAGTTCACTCCCCTGGATTTTGATGGGGTTCGTTTCCTTCAGTCTCAAGTTATCTGTGTAGTGTGATTGTAAATTTTCTTTATGGTGTTCTCTTACTATTAGACTTATGGTTTTTGATTTCCCCCTTGGTGTCTCCTCCTTCTTTAAGACAAAATGATTATTACAATCAATAGAGTAACCTGTAATAAAATGTTCACTTTTATGTCCTTTTGCAACTTGTTGGATTACACCTTATTGTCACCTTTTTCTTTTAAATTTGGAATTTAAACTTTATACACATATATATCCTGTACAGTTTTATTCAATGTCCTTAAAACAACCAAGATCCTTTCAATCATATTTTTTGTTTCTGTTTTATTCTTTTCTGTATTTGGCACAGGTGGTCATTCTAATACATTTTGTTTGTACTTATATATATAAGAATTAAAGGTAAAATGAATATTTATTGTTCCAATCATAGAAGTCAATATAATAATTCAATGTTTCGATTTAAGGGCCCTTGATTGGCAGCATGATTGACATTTATACACACAAATACATTTTTTTTCTTCATATGTCTGGATTCTACCATTTTAGCTTTTTTCTTCACTGATTTTTTTTTAAAAAAATTTCAAAAATAAATAGAATTCAATTAAGTTATAGGGTGCATCTGGAGTTATAAAGAGGATTTCAAAAACATATAAATGTCCATATCTATCATATTGTCGTTTAGGTGTCATACCACCAATTACTCCCTCCAATTTAGAACCTATGTAAAAGTAGTCCTCCTCTGACAAAAAATGGTGCTTTTGATGTCATTGTTTACTTAAACTATAACCAACAAATTTGAAGAAATGAAACTTTTGGTGAAAGAGAAATATATGTAGACCATTTTGAGCCAAAATATACTTGTCTATGAGTTTGCATTAAAAATTGAGGATTAATGTGTTCCATAGTATACTTATTTAAGATTGCCAGAAAACCATATGTTATTTGTAGTAGAACTCGGCCTCCAAAGGCAGTTCTTTGTTGGCATGTAGAAAGGTGATACATGTACAATTCAGGATATACCTTGTTTCTATGAAGTTAAACTTAAGGTAAAATATTAAGAAAGCTGTGAAAATTGTAAAATTTGTTTGAATATAGAGATTTTGAATTGGTGGTCAGACACTTATATAATCTAGGGTCTCGCTGTCTCTGAATTTTAATTTCAATAACTGTGAACTTGTCTTGTCTCGAATGGATATAAAATTTTATTTAAATGGTGAAGGTTTTGTCTGCATGACATCTATAAGATAAACTTCCGGAGTCCATTTTTGATAAATTTAAGTGTATATATATATCCCTTTAATATTTACCCCACATTTTTTACTATATTTATACTGTAACAAATATCTAAATCATATTTATTTACAAGGCAATTACAACAATGTCAAACACGGTCTCTGAACAAGTATCAAAAGAATCTAACTTCCCTCACATGAACTTAAACTTTTCTAACTCACAAAATATCCACTTCATATATTTTGGCCTTATCACTACTGTCTATAGGTGTGACACATCCTACATAAGTATGTCCGGCTTCTGTACTACAGAAAGGGCGTGGATATAGTATTCCCGGTTTTCTTGTGTCACAATATCTGATATAATTCCCAGAATTATTTAGGAAATATAAAATGTTATGGTTTCGGTTAGAAACTATAATATTGTCAAATGGAGTAGTTAATACATATATTGGTTCGAAAGGTATTTTGTCTGTGTTAACTTCTGGATTGCCATTGAAGGTATTCAGAACATCACCATCTTCACTCAGTATTACCACTCTACCTCTCCAATCTTCAGATAACTGGTCCACTACACAGATATTACCATTATTTGTTCTGGTTATATTCATCACATATGTAAATATAGACTTTCCTTGAGTGTCATATTCAATAGTAGTATCATGTTTCCCACTTTTATCCATCACAACCACAACCCTTCTTCCTACAGCTGGGTAAACTATTTCCCCACTATAAGCACCAGTAGTGACTTTTCCATCTGAGTTAACATGAACAGTTGATAGCACAAAACCTTTTACCTTATACTTAGAATCAGTCATTTCACCTGTCTGACCACTGATCTGCTTCAGTACAGATCCTCCTGCAGTAACCAAAAGAAGATCTTCAGATGGAGTACATGCCATACCATAGATTTTAATGTTTTTTTGATCAATTATCTTCAAACTCCTCCCTTCTATTTTCACTTTCTGTAATACTTCCTGGTTAGTAATCCACAATGTATCTTCAGAACAAGCTGCCATAAACATAACATTAGAGATTTCAGTATCAAATTGTTTTATAATTTTAATTTCACCCTTAGTAGAAACATTTTCTAGTGAACCAATGTTATAAGCAGTTATCTCTCCAGGAAGAAATGTTGGAATAGAATCAAACTTTGAACAAGGTGATGTGACTGTTTCCTCCATTGATTGAACTAACTCCAAACCATCAACAAAAATTCTTTTACCATCATTGGATTGGATGATATCATCAACTACTGACTTTTTGGATGCCAGACTTTCAATGAGCAGGGACACCTCTTTTTCTTCTGTTTCAGTACATCGATGTAAATCTTCCCACTTTTTAATTAGCTCAGTCTCCAATTTTTTAGTATGTTGATCGACTTCCTTCTTAAGCTGGACATTCTGATCTTTGATTTTCTTCAGAGTGTTTTCAAATTGGGAAAGTTCAGCTCTATCGACATCCTTCACTTCTTCTTTTCTTTTTTCCAATTCATGAATATTAGTTCCGATATTCTTTCCTCTTGTCTTTAATTTGCTTATCAGGATTTCATATCCCTCTTTTATGGTTACCAAACCATGTCCATTATGGGTTTCAGAGATACATAGTGGACATACTAAGTAGACACAAGACTGACAAAACAAAACACAAGTTTGGCCTGCATGGGTTTTACAATTTATATTAGACAAATCTATTTCATCCTCATGGAGCCCCAACTCCTCAATTGAAACAACTTTGTGATCCTTTGCAAATTTGAATTTCACATGAATTTTTTCTTTACACTTGTCACACATGAGCATGTCACAGTTCAAGCACTTCCATGTTATTCTAGTATCCTCCTCACAAAGGCTACAGAAAACTGGAACCTGTCCACCTCCATGGGCCATAACTAATTAGTGTAAAAATCTAATATGTCTGCTGGATTTTACTTCCTTGTTTTAGTTTATATATAGATTAAGTGTACCTTGATTTATTTATTATCTTTACCTGTCTTAGTATAGCCTTGACACTTGGCACTCATACCACATCTTCTTATTTATATTGACAGTCAATAATCTATATTGATGTCCAACATAGTAAAAAAAAAATAAGTTGAAACAAATCTGATATGACATGTTAACTTAAATGTGTTTTCTATCATTCAATGTTTCTATTATTTACAGGTAAATATTATTTCGTAAGTTTTGATAATAGTAGGTTAGTAAAGACATTAGATTAGACATTAGACTCTATATTTTTGCCACAAGTAGTCAATTAAAATGCCATTAAAGGTTAATATCATTCTAGTGAGCAAGATTTTTATGCAGTAGTTTCTTATTAACATATAAAATTAGTGTTTTCAATATACAGTACTCTCTGTTATCAAACCTACCAAAATGACTTATTTAGACTGCACTTAAATATTTTCACCAAGTGGACCTACATGTGTGAACATATATTTGTTCCGCATAATACTTGTTCCCCCTGGAACAAAACTATGGATAATAAAAGTTCTTGGGAACAAACATTACGTATAGATTATAACATGCCCTTTTCCATATTGGCCCTGGTATCATCCCGAGACTCCCATATCGGCCTCGAGGCTTTAGCCGAGGGCCAATATGGGTCGAGGGATGATACCAGGGCCAATATGGAAAAGATATGTTATAATCTATTTATCACATATTTAAGTTCTGCAGAAAAGAGAAAAAAGTTCAATTATAACAATTTAATGAAATATAACAGGTAACATCTTAAAAATTTTATCACAAAAGTTTTATCACATTTTCAAATTTAGTTTTTATCATTTACTTCATAGAAATTTATTGTCACATTTCGACTTATTTTGGAATATGACAATACACAAACGCGAGAATTTGGCATAATTGGGGCTAAATCTATAACTGTTGGTTGTGCATCGTCATTAAGGACACAATGACGTCACGTCATTTGGAATCAGGGCACAATAACCAATAACCTCTTTTTTGCCCCGGGCAATTTTGAGGTTATTACATATGCAAAACCCAACGTATTCGTAACAAATATGTGATAAATAATATTATTTCCACCTTCATAAGATATTTTCCTGGAACTAAAACGTCATATGGTTTCATAATATTTGTTCCTTTAAAGAAAGTGTCATTTGATTTTTTACACCTGATTACATCTTAATTAGTGTTCCCCACCTCCTCCATACCCCACCTCCTCCGCACCCCACCTTCTCCATATCACACCTCCTCCATACCCCACCTTCTCCATACCCTGCCTGAGGCCTCCATATCCCACCTCCTCCATACCCCACCTCCTCCGCACCCCACCTTCTACACACCCCACCTTCTCCATACCCCACCTTCTCCATATCCCACTCCACTTCTACAAGTAATTTTGCAATTGGTTTTTTACAACTATTTTACACCACCTGGCCAAACTGCATCATAGAAAATAAAAGTTGACCAGTACCATCTGTTTACAGGAAGATTGAATGTTGCTACTCTAATGAGGTGATTAACTCAGCAGATTTATAGGTCTCACATTGTTGTAGATCAGTTAAATATGTTATAAAGGTCAATTAAATACATATAAAAAAGATGAAAATCTAACAGAAAGAGGATTTCCTGAAGGTAGCTCTGAGAGATGTTACAAAAATGAGTATTAAAGGGGTTTCCTCATGGTAGTTCTACTATAAGATAGATGTTACACAAATCAATAATAATCATATAGGTCAAATAAATGCTAAATTATCTAACAAAGGGATTCACAGGTATATCATGTTCCCTCTGTAGAAAGGGGATTGAAGATGAACTTCATTTTGCTTGATAAGGTCAAATTTTAGAAAAGCATAGGCAACATTTAGTTTTTTAGGAAGTAGAAAGTATTGTTCAATCTTTCAACAAAATGTCTGATAATGAAAAATTTACATTTATGTTTACATTTAAAGAGTAAGATGTAACTAAATTAAGCTATTGGTAAGGGGGTTAGTGATTTATATATACTTAGAAATAACCCTGCTGACAAGAAAAACTAGAATTATGTTATACAAATTTGTGATTATTAGTTTTTTATTACATATATATTTGTTGTGTCATATTTCATAACAATCTTTTCAAAAAAATAATAAGAATATTGAACTTTTATTTTTAATTTGCAAAAGTATCACCAGTCCTCCAAAATATGATATATATATGATATACTTATTATTACTATAAATGTTTGTTATCTTTGTATTTTTTATGTTTGTAAATATTGTCATTTGTATGTAATGTATGTCTTTGTAAGATTTCATAATTTGGATTTTACATCAATAAATAATTTGATTTGATCATGTTGATTAGATTAAATTTGATTTATAGTTTTTACATAAATCAACTAGATATAAAAAAGAAGATGTGGTATGATTGCCAATGAGACAACTCTTCACAGGAGACCACTTTATGACGCAGAAATTAACAAATATAGGTCACTGTACGGCCTTCAACAATGAGCAAAGCCCATACCGCATAGTCAGCTATAAAAGGCCCCGAAATGACAAATGTAAAACAATTCAAACGAGAAAACGTAAACGGCCTAATTCAAAGAGCCAGGGTGTGTCGCTCACCTAGTTCTATGTACATCTTCAACAATGGACACTCTCCATCTTTGTGGACTAGAATAGAATTTATGACAGATATAGTCTTGCTGATCATTTTTGTTTATTTAAGTTTCTATCTATTTTATATAGTTTTTCAGATAGTAGGCAAAAACACCAAAAAATGGTAAAAATCATCATCAAAAAGAACAACTCCAATAAGTGGTCATCATGAGGGAGTCAAAAATGATCTCAGACTAAGGTATTACTGCTTCCAACGGCGGCAGTTTAATTTGTAACAAACCCTCCTAAAATTGTCCGTTTATAAATTTATTTAGTTTGCAACACCATCAGGCAAAGTTGACCTTAGATGGAGTTGGCTATTATTTTCAAATTCTTTTTTGTCATATCAGCAAGACTTCAACTGTTTCAGTTCTTATAAATCCTTGGCTTTCAAATATTCAGCTTTGAGCATTCCGGATAAAGGTAAATCCAGAAAAGTGTTTCAGAAGCATGAAATTTATTAAGTGCTGGTTTTTTTTTTTTTCCACAGTTGAAAAATCATGACTAAGGGGACAAGTATATAATAATACCCATAGAAAGAGATGTGCTTATGCTAATGCAACTGCATACCAAACATCAATGACTTAATTACCATTAGTGGTTCATCTTAAACTGATCTAATCACAAAGTTTAACATGAAAACTTTGCTAATTCAAGTTTCAATGTCAGTGAACCTGATGCCTGAGATCGTAAGGTCAAAAAATCTCCATATAGGAAGTTGGAACCCTAATTCATCAACAGGGAATCTTAAAAAATATGGCTTTAAATCATGTCACTACAGAGCTGAAGATACGATTAGGGACTAAACATTCCACCAGAATTAGCATCCACCCAGTGCAGAGTAAATGAAAATAGCACTTTATAAATTGTGTTTGCAATACTTTTCTGGATATACCTTTATCAAGAACACTGTAAAAACCTAAAATTTACAACAAATTTCTGTTATCTAAATCAGTGGAAATGTACTTTTACCTAAGATTCAGATAATAAGTGCATATTTGGGACAGAAAACAAAACTATATCTTACACAAATAAGTATTTATATAAACAATGCAGTGTATTATCTTTTAAATCAATATTGTTTTCAAGATCCTGGCCACTAATGACATCATGGTTGAGACGTCCATTAATCGTGAATTAAACTGACCTAAATAGGAAGTACGCCATTGATTTAAAGGATACAGAACGTGACACGACACTTAAAAAACTGTTTCCAAGTAAATAAGGAAGTTACAGCTAATAACAAAAGTTTTAAATTATCATTCTGAAATCAGTCAAGATTTATCTTATATTGGAAATCAATTTACATCAAAGATTTAATATACAGAAAATTATGGTGCCAGGCTCAAGTTTCATTTGTTTAATTTTTATCTTATGGAGATTATAAAGGTAGTCTAACTAGTTGAGTTAGGGAAGATCTTCTTTGGCTCAATTGGTTAGAGCGCTGCCTTTAGATCCCGAGATTGAGGGTTCGAATCCCGCTGGTACCAACCATGGATTTTCACATCAGATGCATAACAAAGCAATACTTTCGCAAATTATTTGTTGTTTTAGTTGAAATTATTTGTCGTTTTAGTTGAAATTATTTGTTGTTTTAGTTGAATAGTACAAAAAACTCTACAACAAAAACACTAGACACTCCAAGGATTATCTCAATCTGTAATAAATGATAATCATTGATTATCATGACTATCTGATTCATTAATTATATACGATTAACTGATTCAATGATTATCATAGATTATCTTGATTCAATGATTATTATCTATTATCATAACTATCAGATTCATTGGTTACCATCGATCATCTGATTCAATGATTATCATTGATTGCCTGATTCAATGATAACCATCTACTTTAATGACTATCTGATAAATTGATTGTCATTGATTGTCTGATTAAATGATTATCATCAATTGGCTGATTCAATGATTATCATCGATCGTCTAATTCAATGATTATCATCGATCGTCTAATTCAATGATTATCATCAATCATCTAATTCAATGATTATTAATGATCATCTAATTCAATGATTATTATCAATTGTCTGATTCAATGATTATCATCGATCGTCTAATTCAATGATTATCATCGATCATCTAATTCAATGATTATTATCGATCATCTAATTCAATGATTATTATCAATTGTCTGATTCAATGATTATCATCGATCGTCTAATTCAATGATTATCATCGATCGTCTAATTCAATGATTATCATCGATCGTCTAATTCAATGATTATCATCGATCGTCTAATTCAATGATTATCATCGATCATCTAATTCAATGATTATTATCAATTGTCTGA